AGCACAGACTAAGCCAGAAAAACGTATTTCAGAATGTGATCATCCTGGGTTTATTAAAATTGCTCAACTTGTTCTTGCATGTAATGATTTGGAATGATGCAGTGTATCACCTGACTTCATTACGGCAGATGCTAGGGGGAAACTTTACATTTGAAGTAAGAAACAAGAGAACAGACTAACAAGAGCATCAGCAAAACTGAACTGGGTAGCTTGATAGATCTTTCTATGCCAGTGCCCTCCCTTTCTACTACCACATTTTTGTAGCACCCTAGGAAAAAATTAATGTGGAGAGAGAGCAAGGTGTTTGCTTTTTTTCTAACTGTTCATCTTCAGCCAATAGCCAGGCATCCAAAACGGCAGAAATGAAAGGCAATCCTATTGTGAACAGGAGGAGATGGCTTTCTGACAGAGGGATGGAGGCAGCAGTTACATCTGTTCAGTGAAGGTCCTTAAAAAATGAGCACGCTGTGAGTACAGCCTTGGCCTCTCCTCTTTAGAAAGCTAGGGAATACTACTAGGGAAAGTCCTCTAAATGACATGCAGAGGGAGTAGGGCAACTGCAAACAGTCATGGAAATAAACAAACAAACAAAAAAAGAAAAGTATTTCAAGAACAGGAAGTGTCTTCTAAATAATTAGACTCTGATTAAAGCAACTGATGCACTGTAAGACCCAGGAAAATACACAGATCTTTCTTCTGTTTGTTTGTAACATGTGATTGCTTCCAACAAGAATTACTTCTCTTTCGATGTCAGAGTAGTAATACTCCTGATATCATAATAAATTACAGAAGGAATGGCCCCGATGTTCTTACAAATTCCATTTTCATTGGTGGTGTTTGGACATTTTTTATTTTGTTTTCACTAGAGTTTACTATTTCTATTTGATATTTTATTTCATATTGTAATATGCAATTTATTATCTGTTCTTCAGCCATCGGTCTCAGATTAAATGTTAGGCAGATGGCATTTGTCATATCATGTCTTTTCATGAGTGTTGCTCACATAAAAGCTCACAGGTAAACAATTTTCATTTTCACTTCTTTTCCAAACTGAACATTTGTGCTTTCCTTTAAAATTATGTGTTTGCAACTTCTAAGTTAGGGACACTTTTAAGATACATTGAAATACTGAGACCAGTACTTTAGAAATCCAGGAAAAGATTGACACTTTTACATGTTAAACTGGCTGAAGACATCTTGGGTAGCTTCACCCTTGAAGTGTCTGTGCTGGTCCTCAGCCAAGAAAAGATCTTACAGAAGCAGAGATGGAGACCACTGTAACAGTGGGGATTTAAAAACACATACTCTGGCTCAGTGAGGGTCCCCTTGCCAAACTTTCAGATATAGGTGTTAGGTCCACATTTTTTTTCCCTAGAGGGTTTCCCAGCAGAAACCATGGCACAGTACTGTCTGTGTCCTGATCTGCAGAACAGATAACAAACTACAGTGGCTTCTGAGAAAACCCACCCCCAAATGGGAGGTTTAGAAGTAGCAACAGCAGTATGACGGGTCAAACTGCAATTCTGCTCTGTGGCTGGGTCAGCTTGTGCCAGCCAGATCCAAGTGACTCCTCAGATCTTCTTCTGAGATTAGAAAGTTCTCTGAAATGTAGCGTCATCTTGTGATACTTAGTAATTGACCTTTAATGGGTTTTTCACTGTGAATGTATCATCAGTAGGCTTCGATCCTTCAAAGAAGTCACATCACCTCAGTACAACTTCCATCTCTTGCAAAATGGCACAAACTGGAGATCAGGCCAATGGCCCTGCTGTTCCCACCACATCTCTGTGCCCTCACAGGGGCTGTCTTCTGCCTTGGGAGCAGGTACTTGCAGTTCTCTTCACACTGACAAACACACGTGGAAGTGCCACCTAAGGAGACCATCATAACCTTCCCTTTTTCCTCTCCTAATTCATACCAGTAGAAAAAATATTGCTATTGTTACTTCATTGCACATTTGGAATACTTGTAGGGAAAAAAGTGCCAATGTTGGTGGAGGTGGTTACTCAAAGCAAAGCGTTGCCTCAGATGCAAAAATTGCCATGAGCAGGAATTGCAGAGATACAGCTTGAGGGGAAAAAGTGCTTCAGGTTGTTTGTATAGCTAATGCATTAAAAAAAAACCAAACACACTGTTATAGAGGTGCTCTGTTCTGTGGAATAGAAGAGTAAACTGTAACTGTGGATTAACAGATAAAGGATTATTTTATTTGGCAGAAAAATCTGTGAATTCTACTTCTGACTGAAGCCAGCTTCAGCAAAATTGCTTTAAAAGGAGTTCCTTGAAATCTGCTCTTTCAGTGAGTGAAGGCAGATTGTCATGACTCCTTTAAGCAATGCAGGAAAAAATACTGGGAGTGTTTAGGCAAACAGTGCTACAAGACACAACAGAAAGATGGGCTGCAAGGGAGACACTGGTACTGTACCTTTTCACATGGCTCAGCTTTCAAAAATGATAGATTGGGAAGCTGTGGGAAACTGTGGACAGCTGCGCTAGCAACAGTGCTCACTTCCATCTTCTTCATAAAAGCCAAACTGCCCTATATGGGCTATTAATTGGAGAATAATTTATCTCAGGGCAGGGCTGTATCTACAGAACCTAACATGAAGACATGGGATTTAAAAATGTCACTGCACAGGATGCCAGGATAAACAGAACAGAAATCCATTTCAGTTACATCTACCCTGACACTTTCCAAATTATTTTTTTACATTGCTTTTTGGCATTATGTTCTTTTCCTATTTACCTACAACAAACCTCTATCTAAGCTAAAAAAAAGACACCAACAAATAAAAATGTTTTTCATAATAAAGGGAATAATTGCATATTGTAGCTGTCTCTGTGTCTCATAGAGATTAAAGGGGATATTTTTATGCTATGGGAAAGACTAGTTTCCTAGTTGCTTCCTTCTTTATCACTTCATCAGCTTTACCTACTGCATTCCTCAGCTGTAAGTTTGGAGGGGCTGCCTCAGGCTAGCACTGCACACTGGTGTGGCTCTGCAGCACAAATGGTGTGTGCTCCTCTAGCACAGCCTAGGGCTGGTGTAGACGTCCTAATCCTTACTCTCCAGAACTACACCCTAAGAGCACAGAGACATAACTCTGCCTTTTTCCACCTGTTTCTCTGGTTTCTCTCTGGTTTCTCTTCCTTTGAAGTTGCTGCTTTTTTTACCTTTTACCAAAAAAAAAGTCAAGTGAAGATACAGCTGTCCTAAAATAATCTTTACTTAGTATGATTTCCGCAACTGTCTGGGCAAAGACCTTGTTTTCAATTTTGAGCAATCTGTTTTCTGCAAGAAAACAAAATACCTCTCTCTGTTGCTATAGAAATAATATTGCGTTAAATGAAGGAACCAGTGCCCTGCTGTCGACAAATGTAGTCTGAGTGTTAGTCTCTAGAGCCTGGATATCACTACTGGGAAGAAGTATACATAATTCTAGAAATTATTTCTGTAACATGCATAAATGTTGTTATACTTTGAAACTGTTAGCTAAATTTCCCAAAGTGATAGCATGGAGAGCAGCCTGGTGTGATGTGTTTACGTATCTCTTCACAGAGCCCTCCCCTCTTCCCCACCCCCCTCCTCCCCTACATTTTCATATTTATAGCTTGAAATTTCCAACTCTTTGCACAGGAAGGTGGAGAGGGGCAGGAAAAGCAGCTTTCTCAGCCAGGTTCCCTGCCCCATGGACCACAAAGTATGCCATGTTTATTTAATTTTTTGTTTTTATTTTTTAAAACCCAGCTCATCCAAGCAACATGAGATGCCATTTGCTCCGTTTTTTTCTACGATTAAGAAGGATATTTTCCGTAACTGGCCTAAACTAAGGTCCTAGTACATTAATGTACCCCACAAACTGATCTGCTGTCTACTACTTTCTAGACTACATTGGGTGTCACATACTAAGCAAAGAGTTTGTTACAATAACTTTCTGCCCTGTACAGCAAAGACTAAGTTGAGAATTTTTACTTTATGCATCAAATCTCGCACCTCTTTACTTTTAGATACAATGTAGACAATTATATGAGTGGTTTTCCCCAGTATTTTTCTAAAGCTGTAGAATTCTAGTAAGGTGGTACTTGAGGAAAAGGAATAGAAATCTTCACTATTAATAGTTACTAAGAGTCAGTGATTTTCAACATATTAATTGTAAGTATTTTGAAGAAACATGGAGGAAAAAATCTTTTCTCCCATAGTTAGATTACAGGAGCCCCTGATACATTTCTATCTGTAGCATGTGTGTAGTTACAAAAATGGAACACAACTGAAAAATATATGGATTTATTTGCCTAGACCTGTATGCATGTTTTAAAGTTGATTTCAGAGTTCTTGTAAAAATCCTCTTATGACTCTTATGACAATTAAATACACTTTCCAAAACAAGGACAAATTTCTGACAACAGTTATAGTAACTGTCTTCTTATGCATATTAATATAAAAACAGATGCAAGAAAAACTAGCAAAGTACACAATTCCCATTCTTTGAAATTAATGCCATGCTCATTATTAAAACAGACTCATCATATAAACAAGTTGCCACAAGACACTAATTTTTTTTTTGCTGCTAAAGTTCTTGAAATGAAAAAAAACAAAAAACAAACAAACCACCCTTAATTTCTTTGCACAGCCATGAAATACAAACCAGAAGCTGACCTGGTTTTTAGCCTTGTGTAAATCTGTTACACCATCTGAAGTTGCTGCATTTGCAGATCATCAGTTTATAGATGGAAAGAATCAGCCTGCTTTAGGTGCAAAACACTGACCTTACATCACCTACTGCTGTGCTATCTGTTGGTTCCTATCCAGAGCCTGTCTTAGGGCAAGTTATTGAAAATGGAGGGACACCAGTGAGTGAAGATGTATTCTAGACCCCAGCATAGTATTGTAATCATATATAATATAGAATATTTTCTTACTATGCATATTTCCATAAACAAAAGCTAACAACAATGGTAGGAAAAGGCAGCATAAGCACTAACATGTTCTTTTTCTATAGGAACTAAATGGAGAAAGGACCAGGAGCAAGATTTAAAGAATGTTCTGAAGAACACTGACCAGGACATCCCATTGGTATTTGTCAGTGGAAATCACGATATTGGCAACACTCCAACCAGAGAGACGATAGAGAATTATTGCAAGAACTGGGGGGATGACTACTTCAGCTTCTGGGTTGGAGGCGTTTTCTTCCTTGTGCTGAATTCTCAGTTATACTTTGATTCTTCCAAATGCCCGGAGTTAAAGCAAGCCCAGGATGTGTGGCTCAATGAGCAACTGGCTGTTGCTGAAAAATATAAATGCAAGCATATAATAGTATTTCAGCACATCCCTCTGTTTCTGAGGAAACCTGATGAAGACCATGATTATTTCAACTTCGATAAATCAGTTCGTCAAGAGATAATGGACAAATTTCATAAAGCAGGTATTTTCTCCAATTTTCCTATTTTTAAATTTTTCTTTCAAACTGTTAATGGCTGTGTTGTCAGACAAAATGCATTTTACTTAAATTAGTACTGCTTTCAGGGAATTTTAGATACTACTTATAAGCCTCATTGTTCCCTGCAGGTCAGCCAAATCTAATCACCTGTAAAAGCTACCACACAAACTTAGAATGAAAATAAAAATCTAAAAGTGAAAAACTCTTTAAAACAAATAGCAAGGATTCTATAGTGGAAGTACTGATAGATGTAAGACAACCTGAGCTTTTCATGCCTAAGGAGTAGAATATCAGGTATTGCTATAGGAAAAAAAATACAGATTTTTATGTTTTACATAAAACGTGAAAGCAGAATTCAAAATTACCTTGGAGGTTGTTTTCTCCCACACAGAACCAATTTTAAACCAAGAGCGTAATGCAGTCCAGATTTATTCAGTGTTAAAAACAGTCTTGCTCTGCTAAGATCAATCTTTTGCATATCCATTACTAATAGGGGCCATTTCTGGGATGAAGGGAAGGTAAGACCTGTGCTAAACAAGGACATTGTACCAAATCCCTGAGCTTTGTTTGACAAATGTCATGGAGACAGACAGTACCAGCTACTCCTCCATGCTGTTCCCATTGTTTCCTGTTAATTGCCTTCATGTTCCTGGGGTGCTAGTCTCTCAAAATGTCCTGCCAGCCTGCCACTGCTGCATCAGAGTGTCGTTTTCTCTGGATCTGCAAGAGAGCACGTTATTTGGATTACTGAACAATGAAAATTGTTTATAAAATTGTTCCTGATTTACTGTATAATTGTTAAGCCTGGGCTCGTCCAAAACCAGCCTAATTTCCAAGCTCTGAATCTCCTACTGTTTCCAATCAGTGGGGCCAAAACTCAGAGCCATCTGAGGAATTCAACATTTACAAGTGTTATTTTTTCCCCATAGGAGACATACTGAGAATACCTCATAATACCTTTTTTAATTTTTGTGCCAGTGTTACTATAGTGGGAAGTACTGCTGCTGGGAGGTTGGGCAGCTGAATGAGTTCTTACCTGCTGTTGGCTAAAACACATCCTAGTTCATTGGAAAGCTCATTAGCAGGAGGACGCTGCCATGCAGGTGTATCCCAGTAAATAAGCAAATCATGTGGAATCCAAAGCAGTTCTGTTCCAGAGTTTTCTATCATGGTCTAGTGGTGAGTTTGTGCTGTTAGGTCTAGGCTGGACTGGATGATCGTGGAGGTCTCTTCCAGCCAGGGACATTCTGTGATTCTGTCATTCAGATGGTTTAGTCACATCTGGCAACACAGTACTAGGAATGCAAATAATCAAGAGGTAAAGGAAATTATGCAAAATGTTACCTTTGTAACATTTCTCCTTACTTTTATCATGTATCTTCTGATTGATTCTCTTACTATGTATCCAGAGGCTTAACCAAAATTTGGGTAGGCTTCAAATGATGGGAGCAAGGAAAAGAGAATGAGAAGTCAGCAATACAAGACAACTCTACAGAAGAAACTCTCCACTACTCCTTGCTGTGCCAACATCCCATTTGTCCCTTCCTTCCATCATTTCCCATTGTGTCTCTCATTCCTATCCCAAAAATCCTCCCAAAATGATGTTTGCTTTCTTCATTAATGTTAAAACTTTTTCTTTTTTTCTTTCTGTTTTATACAGTTAGTAAATGAGTCAATAGGTAATAATTTGCAATCCAATAATCAAACTTTTTTGCTAATGAAATTAATACAGGGAGCAAGCAGCTCAGTGTAACTCAGACTGCTGAAAAAAATAAGCAAAATCAAAAGTTGGCTCAGAGTTTCCTTAGTAACGGGTGTGTTGTTTCCTTTTAATTATTCAGTTGAAGAACAGTCTTTGTGAGACCACAGAATTGTATGAGTGGCTTGCAAACAGGCAATTATCATGGCAGTATGTGTGCACAGATATCAATGACTCCACTTACTTTCTGACTCTCTGCTTTGGCAAAGAAGAATCAATCTCAGCTTATCATTACACATGAAAGTTGGTTTTGCCCTGTTTACTTCATACATTCTTGGAGGATTAAAACAGAATATTGCTAATGAAATCCGAATCTACTTAGCATTTGGGTTTTAATTATTATGACTTGTAGCTTAAGAAGGCTAACCATTTTAAGCATTTTCTTTAGAAATCTGGTGTAACTATTCACTGTGGAAAAAAGTCAGTCTGCCTTTTTAATGAGTCTACCAGGCTACTGCTATTCTTCTTCCCCTGATCTAAAATCAGTTCTTCCTTCCTTTTGTTTTCTTGGTCTCTAATTCAGTGTTTACAACCACTCCTGGTGAAACTGTTTTCACAACTCTGTTGTGAAACATTTCAGGAGAACATGTAGGGGTTGCTCTTTGGCAATGCAATGTACTTCTCACAAGGAACTGGTGATAGAAAAGAGGAAATGCCCTCAAGCTGTGCCAGGGGAGGTTTAGACGAAACATTGGAACAACTTTTTCACTGAAAGGGTTGTCAGACATTGGAATGTGCTGCCCAGGGAGGTGGTGGAAGTGTTTAAAAGTCATCTAGATGTGGCACTTGGGAAAATATGGGTCGGTGCTGAACTTGGCAGAATAGGGTTAATGGTTGGACTCCATCATCTCGGAGGTCTTTTCCAACCAAAGTGATTCTGTGAATGTCATGTTACTCAATGGGCATCATATCTCAGTTGTTGATAAACCAGGATCAGACCTAGAACTATCCCGGTTTTCCTGTTTATATTTTTTCTAGAAATGTCAAACACAGAGCTTTATCTCACCTGGTTATAGAGAGACAGGAGGGGAAGGGCAACCTAGTAATTCAGATCTTTCCGTGAACAAATACATTCATATGGGTATGTGGAGATAATCAGATTTGTAAAGTATGGTGATGTTGCACAGGTGCTTTAAAGTGAGGAAAGCAACTTCAGGAAATTATTATTTTAAATTCAGAGCCTAGATCTTCTGTAGCTATTCTCTTCTAATTACTTACATATTACATTATGGTTTTGGTTTAAGTATCTGCTCATTACAAGCAGAGATAAAAGACTATCTGTAGAGGCTACATCTGGTACGAAATATTGAATTACGTTTCTCACATTAGAAGTGTCCTTAACAGTTGGGCTAATTAATGATAAAATCATGTCCTTACAGTAAGTATTTGTAATTTGAAAATCTGGCATTTGCAAATATGTATTACTATGCAAAGTTAAACCATACTTGTAACCTGCAAGTCTAACAAATCCTTGTAGCCTATTTTTTCCTTAAATGCATTATACCAAGTATTGTCCTTGAAGTGATTCAAGTGACAGTGAAAATAAGCTCAGTTGAGAACACACTTGACCATTTAAGTGAAAATACATTTCTGAAAGCATATTTGTATAAGTTCTAGAAATTTAGCCTTAGCGGTCAAAGCTTTGGCTGCTCTACATGCAGAAGCTGAGAACAGGAAAGTGTGTGCCAGAGCTGGGCATGAGCTGACCTGACACAATCATCTCTGGGATGTGGTAGAGTCGCTTGACTCTGCTGCCTGAAATGCCTCTTAGCTTTTAAGGATTGTGTAGTGCTGATATAAATAGGTTTACTCACAGCTTTGTGGGGAAAATACAATAGTAGTGGTCTAGCCAAAAATCTGGTCTGCATGTCATTTGTCTTTGATAAAAATAAATAATAAATGGAGGCTTTAAATTAAGCAGGTTATGTAACAGAAGACATACCTTTTCTTACATGTCTTACTCCAGTATAATTTTCTTAGAACATTTTGAGATTTTTTTTTTCCTGAAGACCTGAGAAGTATGGCTATTTTTTTTGAGTTATAGACTTTTTATCTTTTAAAGACTTTTTGTCATGAGAACCATCACTGACACACTGAAATTACTAAACACAATACAGTAATAAATGTTTGTTAATGGCCCTAATGAACTAAATTATCTAAGCAAATGTCTGAACTTGTTTGAGAGTGCTGTTAAATAAAACCTATATTAATAGCTGGTTTTTCACCAAGGAAGTTGAAAAAAGACTTTTTGGTTCAGAGTGTGATGAGGAGTATAATAGGTGGTCTACCTAGGTGACAGATTTTGCATCCAGGAGAGAATCCCTAGATAACATAAAATATAGAAGGAAATTCCCTGCAGTCTCCACCTTGTTTTAATTAAAAAGTGTTATATTTACCTAAATGTCTTTGAAGTAATTTTTCAGATAGGGTTAAAAATACTTAATTTGTAAAACAGGGAATAGCAACCCGAGTTTATTAAATAGCGTATTTTTTCATTATATTTGTGATTCTAGGTGCTCTAACCTCTAACACCTTTACTTATTAAAGAGTGTGATACCTACATTCTCCTCTTAGAAATGACAGGACTGTAGTATTAAATGAACAAGCAACTTTCTGAACATCCACAGCTGAGATATATTTAAGCACAAAATTGAAGCATGGAGTGCTGAACACTGTTGTTTCTAAAATTTACCAGACAACATATGCTATGTTTCATTATTTTCTTTGTTGTGTAATCAAAGTTGACAAGGGAGTGATATTTTCTTCTTCCTGCCATTGTGACCTTGATTTTGGCAAAGCCCCTACACCAAGTGAGTAATCTCAGTGCTTGCTTATGTGTTGTTTTGTCAGTATTTCAGATGATTTAGATTTAAATATTCTCAACTTTAGTGATTTAGTTCAAGTACTTTCAGCCTTGAAATTTTGTTTTTGTGGTATAGGTAGAGTGCCCAAATGTGATAGTTTCTATGTCACTGTGTAAAAACAGTGCTTTTTTAAGACCTTTCCCCAGGTATGATGTAATCCAGCATGTAGATACCACATCAGACTCTTTTCCCCAGAAATCCAGCAGCAAATACAAAATACATTTATGCAGTATAGCCTGTAATGACATTAAATAATGCTCTCAGATCATTTTTTTAAATGTTTTATCTACTGGGCTGTAGTTTGGGTTGGTAAAAACTTCTTTTTGATCCTATGAGCACCCAGCAAACCAGGATTGTCAGGG